GAGGAGGAGGACGAAGAGATGATGATGATCAGGAGGAGGAGGAGGAGGAGGAAGAGGACTCCCTCCCCTTCGAACTGATGGTGGTGGTGGTGGTGGAAAACAGGCCCATCACAAGCTGCGCGATGCAAGCTGTGTGGTGCAAGCTCTGTGGCGCAAGCTCTGTTGAAAGCGTCTAACTTCGCGCTTCGCGCTGCGCGAAGCGCGATTAACTTTGAGCTCTCGCGCCGCCCCCCAGTGGCCGGTCCTCCTACCGGCGGATTTTCGAAAAGAAATAAAAAGAATCAAACACGAATATTCAAAACAAATGCCAAAAGAGCATGAACCATCGTCCCCAGTCGAGTTTTTCTCGGGTCGTCCTCCTGTAGAGGGACCTGCCCGACTTAATAAGCCCCAGGGGAGAAGAGGATGGGGAGGAATCTACGGAACCGAACTCCATACACCGACGCCTTTGTCTGACCTCACACTGAGTCTCCCACAGGAGAGCGGATCCTGGTGTATACGGGATCCTGGTGTCTACGTTTTCGCTGTTTCCGCGGGGCATCGGGGGAACAAGTATATACACCACACCACCCCAGCTACGTCCCCGACCCTTAAAAAATCTGGAGATTGAAAAACAGCCCGTCGTGTGCACGGTTTCCACTGGGGCCGTGGGCGACCCGAGTAGAGGAGGAGGAGGAGGAGGAGGAGGAGGAGGAGGAGGAGGAGGAGGAGGAGGAGGAGGAGGAGGCGGCCACGAGGCCAAGCACCCCCGCGGACCCACCCAACTCGGGCCGGGCGAAAGGGGGGGATAGCAAAGGGAGGGGGGGAGAATCAGCTCCCGTAGCTGATTTTCCTGGCGCCTCCCGGCGCCGGAGGCGGCCATGCCTCGAGGAATGGGCCCCTCGGTGAGGCTGAAGCCAGCTGCATGCAGCAGATTTCGTAACCCCCCCTTTCCCGATCCCCCCCTTTCGTTCGACCCGACCAACGCACGGGGGGGGCGCCCGCGATGCGCATACGGGCGCTCTCCGGGCGAGGCCTGAAGTCGGGCATGTCCCTCTGCAGGAGGAACACTCGAGAATGGTAGAAAACAATAGCCCGGGGACGACCCCTCGTGCCCCCGTGACTCTCTTGAAGGGGTCTGTGCTGACTCTGCCGCATGTTTCTTCGAAGATCCGCCCGTAGGAAGACCTGCCCGACCTGAGCGAAGCCACGGCAAGCCCACCCGGTGCACGGGGCGCGCACGAGGCGCCCAGGCGCGGCCTGAAGGGCGGCAACAGGGCGAGACCTCAGAAACGTCGCCCAGCGCACGGGGGGAAGGAGGAGGAGGGAGGAGGAGGAGGAGGAGGAGGAGGAGGAGGAGGAGGAGGAGGAGGAGGAGGGAGAAGGAGGAGGAGGAGGAGGAGGAGGAGGAGGAGGAGGAGGGAGGAGGGAGGAGGAGGAGGAGGAGGAGGAGGAGGAGGAGGGGGAGGAAGAGGAGGAGCAGGAGGAGGAGCAGGAGGAGGCGGAGGCAGACCCGTCCAGCGCACGGGGGGAGGGGGCGCCCGCGAGGCGCCCACGGGCGATCTCCGGGCGAAGCCCCGGCAGGCCCCCCCCCCCCCCGGGTGCACAGGGGCGCGCACGAGGCGCCCAGTGCGCGGCCTCGAGGGCGGAATTCGGCTACGCGCGTGAGAGCGACCTTTGGGCAAAGGTGACCTCTGGTGCGCGGCTTTTTGGGGGCGAACTGTCTCCAGCAGCCCAGACTCGGCTGCTCGCCGTGCGGGGTGCCGTCCTCAAGCTGCTGCGCTCGGGCGCCGCCGTGGAGGTCCCTGTCCGAGACGGTGCGGCCGGGGTCCGCGTGTACGGGACGCTGGAGCAACACCGCCGTGCCGAGGCGGCGTTGGCGAAGGTCGCAGCTGGCGGCGACGCCGCCCTGGTGGGTGCCAAACAAGCGCGCAAGACGCCGCTGCCACCTCGCGTTCGGAGATCGGGGGGGCCCCATTGGGCCCGCACCAGAGGTCACTCCGGCGAAAGGTCACTCTTATACTTCTGGTCGAGGAGTCGGGGCGAGGCCTCGGCATGAGTCGCCCGGCGCAGCAAGGCGCCCGCGGGGCGTCCTCGGGCGGCAGCGTGGCGGGACCTCGGCCACAACGGCACCCCGGAACTTCCAGGGCGAAGAGCGAATCCCTGGTGCAAGCACTGCTCGGAGAAGATTGCACCACATAGCTTTCAGCACATCCATGTACATATATATATAATACACACATATATACACATATACAACAGACATTGGTACTGCACCACGCAGACTGCACCATGGAGATCCAGCCACACACAGATCACGCACACAGAGAGCAACGACGCACTGTTTGGGGCCCCCGCTGTCCAACAGGTTCGCCGTTTTCCGATCTTAGTTGGTCTTTCCCCCCCCCTCTCTCTCTCTCTCTTCTTCTGAACGTCCCTGCGCGGCGGTCTTCACGCCTCGAACACACCCATGGGCACGAGTACTCTCAAGACACTGGTTCACCAAACCCTCTTCGATAGTCTTGATGTGCAGGGAAGCTAAAGCTCGCACGCTGCTATAATGAGCACTGTGCCACTCCCTGTGCTCCTCAGCCCTTCCACTAGTCTTAGTTTCGCCATGCCGATCACTCGGTGCGCATACAAGCGCAACGCAAAAAAAAAAACATCCTCAGCCTCTGGGACGCTCTCCCAATTAAAGTCGTCAAGGTTGAATACCGACTTGAAATCAGCGACGCCGATGCGACCATCGCCGTCGCTGTCCAGGAGGTTGAAGACGGCGTCTACCTGTCAACCGATTGGGCGCAAGCGGCAAGCTGGACTGCACAATACAATCACAAACGCCAACATGCTTCTGAATGTGCCCAGAGATGCAGTGAGTAATGACCCCTTCCTCGGGACCAAGCTTGTCATCCCGAGTCTTTCTCTGGCGGTCCCTGAGAACTGAGGGCCCCCAGAAGCTAGAAATGTCCAATCACCTTCCGACGTGAGTTCCGTCACGACAAGAGTGGGTCCAGGTTGAGGGGGAAGCGAAGCTGACCGGTGGTTCAATTGGAATGCAGACGTTGCGACGAGAAGCCTCCCGCAGGCCTGACGTTCGAGTCTTTGGGGTCCCTCCCTCCTCGTTCCCCGGGTTGAGGCTGGTCTAGAGCCCTCTCTCTGGGAGGACGAATGGGGGCTGGAGGATCAGCAACGTTCAAGTGATTTTCCAAGTCTTCGGCCCTGGGCAGCGACCATGCATAGAAAAAGCTGCCAAGCGGCTGAGCCGAGACCAGCTGTGCGCAGCAGATTTCGAGCGGCAAGCTTATGTCGTGACGACTTGTGCGTCCGGTTCTGACACCGTCTGGATCTTCAACCCTGCATAACCGCGGCCTCCGATTTGAGCAGGGGCCGACCGTCCCGGCATTCCTATAGTCCTACCACGAAATGTTCTTAGAACCCAAAAATGTTCGAATAACCAGAACAGTATTCTTAGAACATAAACCCGATGTGATAAAACAAGGCAGAACCGCCAGACATGTTCTGAGAACATTTCGTGGAAACCACAAAAGGTCCTTAGAACATTGTTTGGTAGGGCTATCGGCGAGCCAAAACGCTTCGCCACTGCTTGACCGATAGCGCCGATCGTTCGAGATCGGTCAATTCCGGGCCACTGGCGGCGTTCAACCGTGAACGCCCGCGCTAGGTTGGCCGCCGCGGCAGCAAGGTGCGAACCTGCCTCACCCCCTAGCGAAGCGCGCGAGCCTGCGAACGCCTGTAGTGGCCGCGACCACCGAGGACGCCGAGCGCCGCGCGATCCGCCGCGCATGCCGGCGTGAGCGCGCCGCGGACCAGCGCCACCTTGACGAGGGCCGCAAGGCTAGGCGGTCCCGCTGAGGGCTCGCCGCGGCTGGCTGTCCTCGCCGCAACGTGCAGCCGACCAGAGGTCTGCCAGCCCTGCGCGCATGCTGGCGCGTCTGGCTTCCACCGTCCAGTCCACGCGTGCAGGACGCGGCGTTGCAGCCGTTGGTTGCGCGTCATCCGAGCGCGAGAATCATCGTCAGCACTGTCGTCGAGTGATCTATATGTATATACACACCATAGACACATGTGTCTGTGAATACATGCAAGTGAGTCTATGAACATGGAGGCGTACATAGAAAACGAACCATACGTGCATACGCACTGACATATTTTCTTTATATATACACAGAAACACAGAAGCTGACTCATATAGGGGGTTCGGTAAATGCGTCGGCATGCTGATACACTAACTTATACATTACACCTACAGTATCACACCCCTTGTTGTATACACCTACGCGTGTACCTGTACAAACGACCATACACACATGTATGCATATGCATACATACATGCACATGCTCATGCTCATGTGCATGACCCTCACGCGTAAACAGCCAGCATTAGCGAATGTGTAGACATGCGTATACACACACGTATATTCCAACATGGCACAACGAGTACCACATGCATGTACGTATTCTTGTACGCGCATACCTATACACAACCGTATGTGTACATTCATACACAAATTCAGAGGTAGTGCCTTGACATGTGAGCAGCCGGCGTCAGCGAATGCGTAGACAAACGTACACCCACGTTAACGCTACATCTATACAACCACGCAGTTAGTTACAGTTGTACAAAATCGGCGTATACTTGCAAAACGCACATGATATACATATAATGCGTACAACCAGATGCTCATTTGTATTAGCTAAGCCCCGGATCCAGCACTTTACCGGCTCTCCCCCACCCCTTCCCCTCCAACCTCCTACCTAGACCCCCGACGTAGTGATTTCTTTCACAACGTCGACCTCACGATGCCTCGACTCATTCCCCAGGACCGTTTTTTTCATCCCGAGTCGTTCCTTTACGGCCCCGAGGCCCGGCGAAGGTCCCCTCGAAGCCTCCAAAACAACGCCGGTCGCAATTGCTTCGGGACTCGAGGAGACACAGTCCTCGCGGAGAGCAGGCGAGCGGCCCGCCTGCTTGACGAAATGCTGCGAGGCGCTGTCCAGCCTCAGCCAGCAGAGCCCCCTCGCCAGCTCGCCCTGGCCGCTGGAGAGGAGGGAGGAAGAGGAGGAGGAGGAAAAGGAGGAGGAGGAAAAGGAAAAGGACCAGTGTAAAATCAAGAGGCATCAACAATGTTGGAATTAACCCTCCCTCCAAGCTCCCTCCTCGTAGGCCCCCACGACGGTTCATTTCCATTGAGGGAACTGCCTCGTGGGGAAGACATCCGTTTGAAGATCTTGAAGCATGCCAAAACATTGTTCTCGGGATTTCAACTCCACGTATCAGCCGGACTGCTGCGTCTTGACGATCCGGAATCGTACCAGAGCGCCGTTTTTGGGACTTCAACACCATGAATCAACATTAATGTTGCACCCGCATAATCCTGAATCCTTCCATAATACCATTTCTGGTACGCTGATCATGGGAATCCGTGAAACTCTTATAGTTATTGAAAACGAATGTGCGCGGCGCTAAAGCGAGAACCACATGTTGAAAAGGAACCGCCCTAAATCCGTGAAGCTCGTGCGAATTTTGAAAATGAATGTGCGCGGCGCTCGGGCGAGAAAAACATGTTGAAAACCACCTGCCCTCAATCCGTGAAACTCTTGCAAATGTTGAAAACGAATGTGCGCAGCGCTCAAGCGAGAACCACATGTTGAAAACCACCCGCCCTCACTCCGTAAAACTCTTGCGAATGTTGAAAACGGCTGTGCGCGGCGCTGAAGCGAGAGCCACAATTTGAAAACGACCCGCTCTCAATCCGTGAAACTCTTGCAAATTTTGAAAACGAATGTGCGCGGCGCTAATGCGAGAGCCACATTTTGAAAACAACCCGCCGTCAATCCGGGCAACTCTTGCAAATGTTAAAACGAATGTGCGCGGCGCAAATCCGAGAGCCACATTTTGAAAACGGCCTGCCCTCCATCTGTGAAGCTGTTATCACTTGTTAAGCTTCAGGATCATAAATTCTGAGGAAGTCTCACGCGAAACGCCCGGCCCGCCCTAAAAACGGGCCTCGGGGTGCGACACGGAGGAGTTATCCAGAAGGAAAAGGAGTGGAAGGGGTACGAGGGGGACGAGGAGGAAAGGAGAAGGAGGAGGACGAGGAGGAGGAGGAGGAGGAGGAGGCGGAGTAGGAGGACAGGAGGAGGAGGAGGAGGCAGCAGAGAGGAGGAGGAAGAGGAAAAGGAGGAGGAGGAGGAGAAGGAGGCGGGAGAGGAGGAGGAGGAGGAAGAGGGGGATGATAATGAGGAAAGAGATGCTGATGATGATGAGGATGATGATGATGATGATGACGATGATGATGATGACAATGGCGATGATAGTGGTGGTGATGCTGATGATACTGATGATGCTAATGACGATGCTGCTGATGATGATGATGATTACGATGGCGATGGTGATGGTGTTGATGATGGTGATGCTGCTGCTGATGATGCGGATGATGATGGCTGTGATAATGATGACGATGTTGCTGATGATGATGCTGATGATGATGATGATGATGATGATGATGATGATGATGATGATGATGATGATGATGATGATGATGAGGGGGAAAGGGGAGAAAGGGAGGAGGATGATAATGAGGAGGAGAAAGAGGAGGAGGGGCAAAGGGAGAGAAGGGAAAAGGAGGAGGATGAGAACGAGGAGGAGTAGGAGGAGGAGGAAGAGGAGGAGGACGAGGAGGAGGAGGAGAAAAACAGAGGAAGAGGAGGAGCAGGAAGAGGAGGAGGAGGAGGACGAGGAGGAGGAGGAGGAAAGGTGGAGGAGGAGGGGGACGAGGAGGAGGACGAGGAGAAAAAGGAGGAGGAGGAGGAGGAGGAGGAGGAGGAGGAGGGAGGAGGATGAGGAGGAGGAGGACGAGGAGGAAGAGGAGGAGAAGGAGGACGAGGAGGAGGAGGAGGAGGGAGGAGGACGAGGAGGAGGAGGAGCAGGAGGAGGAGAGCGGGCGACCGCTCAGAGACCCCTCCAGCGGAGGGAAAAGTTGCTCCTCTGTGAAAGGGTTGGCTCCCTGGTAAGGGGGGTGGTTCCCTGGTGGAAGTTAGAAAGAGCTCCCGGATGAAACTTCCCCAGTGCGAGGAGCTCTACAACTGCTCCTGAGAAGCCTCTGCGAGGCTCCTGGAAACTTCTGCGAGGCTCCTAAGCTGCCACTGGAAGGCTCCTAAGAAACCTCCGCGAGGCTCCTACGAAGCCTCTACGAGGCTCCTAAGAAGCCTTTGCGAGGCTCCTAAGGAGCCTCTGCGAGGCTGCTAAGAAGCCTCCGCGAGGCTCCTCAGAGGCCTCTGCGAGGTCCCTACGAAACAAGCCTTTGCGAGGCTCCTAAGAGGCGTCTGCGAGACTCCTAGGAAGCCTTTGCGAAGAACCTAAGGAGCCTCTGCGAGGCTCCTCAGAGACCTCTGCGAGGCTCCTAAGAAGCCTCTGCGAGGCTCTTAAGAAGCCTCTGCGAGGCTCCTAAGAGGCCTCTGCGAGGCTCCTGCGAGGCCTCTGCGATGCTCCTACGAAGC